CCTGGATTGTCGCTCGTTCTGGAGTACCTGCGTGGACTGTTATCATGTCTTGGTACGCTGTCGTTTCTCCATGATTTTTACCGGGAGGAGTACCAAGCGTCTCCCTTGATTGGCAACTGCGAAGTTATGTTAGCTCTCGGTCAGGCAAGCCTACCAGGATGCACTGCGTACCAAAGGTCCGCTCACTTGTCCTAATTACACTGAGCTTCAGTGGAATAGGATATAGGCTGTCATGCACGATGTGGGAGCCTTTTCTATCAGTCGTCAATGCACCAGCCACTGGATGTTCGAGAGGTCAGTGAACCTGTTGGAATCCAGAAGAAAACTCCCAGCTGGTTCTAAACAGATGTGCTGGTTCGCGCGAACTAAAGCAGAGTTTGCATGCTGACAAGGGAGCTTGATGGACCGGTCGGGCTTAAGAAATGGGGAAGGATGGATCGGCAGGCAACTATCGCAAGCCCTTCCAACCACTCCGCACCACTGGTCCCAGGAAACCCTGCGTCAATGAGACAAGCAGAGACAACGCCGGTACCATGCTTCACAATAAGCAGCGCAGTATGGCTCGCTGGGCGGAACATTTTCAGGGTTAGTTCCTTTGGCCCCTTGCATCCGGCCCACTTCCTATTCAGGTAATGAAGGCTGAGCAGTGGACGGTTAGTCTAGAAGCTACATCGGAGGCAGAGGTCCGAAAAGCAACCACAGCCCTCAGTCGTTTTCAAGCTGCTGACCCGGATTACCTCGCATTTGCATCATTTAGGGATGGTGGCGAGGTCCACTGCAAAGCACTGATCCCCATGTTCGAATGCCTGGAAGAAAGAGATAATTTACAACCACTTTCATCCTACTTTCAAACTCTTCTCTTGTTTACCATTTCTACCATGTAAACTGCATAAATCTGTTTTATAACTCTTCTGGAATATCTGAAATAACATGTGTACTTTGAGATCATGTAGTAACCATACGATTAGTCCAGGTAGTTGAACTGGAACTCGCACAGTCGGGAAATCGACAATAATGGCAATGTACGAGAAGGGCAGTCGTACAAACTGTTCTAACCACAGAGGTATTAGCCGAACGTCAATTGTGAGAAAATGTCTGGCCTCGATTCCCGTTCGTCGTATTTCTGTGGAATGGGAATCTCGTATTATGGAAGAGCGGGCAAGCTTCCGCGCAGGATCGGGCTGTATAAATCATATATTCCATTTGAGACCAGTGGCAAAGCAGCGCCACACGTACCGCAGACCGACAATGGCGTTTGACTCAGTCGGTCGACCCATTATGTTCGAAATACTTATGCGGAAAGGCGTTCCTATGAAATACGCGAACATTTTACGTGCTCTATGCTCTAACAAGACAGGCAACGTGAGAGTCTGCGGTGAGCTGTCGGATAGCTTTCCGACAACAAGTGGAATTCGTCAGAATCGACTAAATTCCTCCTTTTTGTTCAATTTCGTTGTGATCAGATTGACTAAGGTTCATTTCAGTGCGAAATACAGTTCTCATTGAGACTGCACGTCGCAATCCAATTACACAACGTGTACTTCAAAGTAACTGTTGCGGACAATTCGGTCTTTGACTCGAAGTACTTGTAAAATCCTCGGGTTAGTTCAAAAGTCAAAGCCAGGTAAGAGCTAGAGTGCTAGTTAACAAGGGATTAGAACAATAAGTTAAATACTGATCTCTACCATGTTCAGACGAGAAAGTGTGCAATATATCTGTGCTTTAATTGCAAATGGCCAGTGAAGAGTGCAAATCGAAGGATCAGTCAGCCGAAGCGTGGCACACAGCCAAACAAACATACGAGGGCAGAGCAATAAGTTTCCAGATACGCAGTACACAGATTAGGGGCAGATGACATCGCAAAAAATGCCAACTGTAATCCATTGTCGGCATTGTTCAATGATTTCAGCTCATAGGACCCTATATCAGCAGCCCAGCACAAGTCATAAGGGTCGCTGTACTGTGACCGTAAGTACGGATTTCACTCTATGTCCCTTGAGTGCGATGATTCTCTATGACTAAAAGGTGGCTTAAAGCAGCACCAGTGTTGAGCGATCGCGTGCTGCGTTTGGTGATGATGCGCCTTCAAGAACCACCGTGTTTGAGTGGTTTGCGGAATTCAAGCGTGGCAGGCGGTCCCTGGATGATGAGGCACGGTGTGGTCGACCTGTGAAGGCCACCACTGTGGACAGCATTGCTGCTGTGCAAGTGATGTTGGAGGACGCGCGAGTGACAGTGGTACAGCCGGGGAAAGCCACCGAGATCAATCCGCACCATCTTACAATAGAAGCTCGGCCTCAGAAAGGTTTGCGAACACTGGGTATTCCATCAGCTCAGTGAGGACCAGAAAGTGGCTCGAGTGAATTGGTGCCGCACCATGCTTGCAATGTTTGATGGTGGACGTTCCAAAGCTGTTTGGGAGATCCTCAACGGTGATGAGACTTGGGTGTACAGTTTCGACCCAGAGACCAAGCAACAATCGGCTCTGGACGGCTATTGGTGAGGCGCCGTCTCAGAAATTCAGGCGAAAGTGTAGTATGGCCAAGCAGATGGTGGCTGTGTTCGCGTCTAAGACCAGTCATGTGGCTGGTGTACCACTCGTGCGGCAACGCACAGTCACCGGAGATTGATATGCCACCCACTGTTTGTCACAAGTGCTGGAAGCTGTAGCCAGGAGCCGTCCAAGGGCTCGAACACGAGGGCTGTTGCTGCACCATGACAACGTACCGACACACAGGTCTCACGTCGTCGCAGATTTTCTGACTAGAGAACGTAACCAGGAGGTTGGTCACCCATCCTACAGTCCAGACTTGGCTCCGTGTGACTTTTTGTGTTCCCAAATGTCAAGCGCATGATGCGTGGAATCCGTTACGAGTTTCCAGAAGCTGCATTAGAGGAAGTTATTGAGCTGCATGTGCGGTTACCCGGCTTCGGCAAGGTCTAGGTGCTTCACCAAATCGCTTGAGTGCATGAACGCTGATGGAGACTATTTCGAGAACATGTAACACTTAGTTTGTTGTAAAAAATAAAACCTTTTGTGCATCCGTAAACTCATTCTTCCACCGTCGTATATGAATCCGTGACTGCCCGCATTCCTGCTCACCAATCGTGTTGTTTGGATATACCTAGTCTGTTTCAAGAAGACTTTGTGTTGATTATAATTCCCATGAACATCATATCCGGGTGCAGTGGACTGCTCAGTATTTCTTCATTGTTACCCAGCACTAAGACGCATGTGACAAATTGCATCAGAGGTTATAGGCGATGCTTTTTCTCCTCCGCAGGATGATTTAACTCAAACTCTGCTTCGACTACGAGCTCTAAGTTTAGAGTACTGCTTTCTTGTACTCTGTAATGTCGGCCGAACACCGTTTGCATCTCACACAGAAAAAATGGGAGCTTGACAATCATATAACAATATGCCGTTGAACTTCATGGATCGTCTGATTTGATGCATTTGGATCCACCATTACCGGCCCGATTGTGATTGAAGTAGTTCTGGTGCCTGTACCTGTACACCTATAGGTATATTGTGCAAAATCGTTAATGGTAGCCGGCACGTAGCCTAAAGGTAACAAGCCTGTGTTTTAAGCTGACAAAACCAGTTTGAGCCTGCGTAGTGGTAGGGCGACTCTCCCTGTATCCTTAGCACAGTGGTGGTAATTGTGCGACAGCGAAGCGTCGGTACTGCGTATCGGCGTACTGCTGAGGTCTTCTTGCCTTTCATTACTGATACTATTGTGTTTGGTGAACGTAGGACAGCTAGAAACTCAGCGTAAACAAAAACTAACGCAACAGCTACAAGTCACTGATATTTTAGGTAGAACATGCACAATGCTCGCAACCTGCACTACTGGCGCACTTACCTGCTTAATGCAACTGATGCTGATTTACCTAGGGAGAAAGGTTGGTATCGTCTTTGGTGGCTCAGCCATGTGTTTCACATACCCGTGTGCCAGGTTTTTGGCACGTACTGTTCGCACAACACTGTCCCATGTTAAGTGAAACAATGAGGAGGTCGTGAAAGTATTTGTCAGATAAGTATTAATGAATCCACCAAAAGGTTATCAAGATGTGCCTATCGTACTACCCCACGGAGACTCCTGGGTTAGTTATGGCATATCATGAAGAGAGTGACGCTTTCGGATGTGCTCCCTTGTTGCTGCTACACAGCTACTGCATCTGAAGATTTTACTCCTTGCTTATTCCTCGTAGATTATTATTACAGTAAAACCTCCGGAGTTGATGACCCATATATCCTGACCACCTCTCCAAGCTGACCGTATTATTTTAAATTGCTTGAACGTTCACCATGTAAAACTTAAGGATTCAGACCATTTTGGTCTAGTCCACTGAGCAGTCAACTTACGAAGTTTTACTGTATAATTATAATGGCGACGTGGATCATCGTAAATCCACTGCACTTCTGTTCGCGGACATTAGCTGAACAAAGCTTTTTACACAGCGCTCTGATGCTGCCTTAACTTCGAAGGAGAGCCAGCTAATTGTGACTGAAAGCTGACCGGGTGTAAGCCCCCTTGTCCCTGAATGCTCGTTAAGCGCATATTCGTTTAACACTAAGTCCTGCTTTTCTCAATTTGCACCATAAAGAGCCCCATCGTCGTATGATAAGCATCAATATGAAGTACTAACGTAAAGCTATCCATAATGCGGTTGTTTCACCAAGTAAGAATCCACCTCGGTCTGTGTCTCGGATAGATGGGTAGCGCCAGCTAGCGAGACTGTACCATCCACCAAGGCTCAAGATCACGTCTTGACTAAACAACGTGTCCGTGTTTCAGAAACCACAAAAATAAAGTCCAACTTGAACGAGCTTCCGTGTTTCAAGCGAACAATCCGATGAAGACAATACTCTAGACGGTTTTCCTGACGCTGCCGGCACGACAGATACAAACGGGTACATATAGGTCCCTCGTCAGTGACAGAACTTAGCAAAAGCTGTGGTGTTGGATCAATTTACTGGAAACAAGAAAACGTACCGGTAGCCTTATTTGTGATCTCAGTTCTCTCGCCTTCGGATGCAAGCACTTGGCTCCGCTTCAGCCCCTCCGCCCGATTGATGGCAGACTCCCGCTGACCCTCAGACTCGAGGATCGCTGCTCGTTTTCTCCGATCGGCCTCAACCTGCATTTGCATCGCCTCTTTGATTTTCTGCGGTAGTTGAATATCACCTGGGAAGATGATTGGAAAGAGTGAGGATGAAATACTATCGACTCACGGATCTCGTATCGCAAGCATTCAATACCCCATGGTTCCGCTGCTTTCCCGAGAGCTTGGACAATTTGAAGATTGAGTGCCTCACGTTCTTTAAAAACGCTGTCCAGAGAAATTTTCCCAATTTCTGATCGCATAGTTGTTTGAGCCAGCTTTAGACAAGATCGGGAAATGAATTAATGGCAATGAATAATTAAAATTTGGAGGTTAGAGCAGGAAAACAGACAAACGGAGGCAACATGGAACAGAGAATCAGCGTTGTCATCATCAAAACTACACGTCAGCTAAATGTGGGAAACAGGCTTCAGCTATTGTGTCGCAACACAAAAAATATATGAAAATATCGTGATACTAAACATTACGAAATACAAAAATTAAAAAGTAAGCAATACAGTGCTATGTGATGCATGGAGTGCGAGATCGTCGCTGGAGAGGAAAGCTAAACGAGAGAGACAAAGAGACTCACAGCACTAATGCCTGAGGTTGGCCGTTCACTAAGTCAACAAGTGCATCTAACCAAACGTGTTCACTATCTTTCGGACCTCAGTCTAGCAGTCGGCAGACACCAACAGATGACAAGTTCGAAGTGACAGTCTTCACTCCACTTGACCAGATCATCGCTAAACATCTCCTCTTCTTCCATCCCCATCCCGGCCGCGAAAACAAGGCACAACGCAGGAGTCGATGCGCTGGAAAGCACAATACGTCGCCCAGTCACCAAAGCCAGGTGCGTGATATAATGGTGCGGAGCAGTTCAGTCGCTCTTCGTACACCGAATACGAGACGCTGAACAGGCTCATTACTCACGCTGTGCCCCCGCTAGACATGAGCTAAACTGCGAAGGCAGCGGTGGTCGAACGAAACTAGCCACTTCACTCGGTTTCGTAACTGTACAGTAGGGTTGAACGCACAGTTGCGTTGTGAACTCTGTCCTTCAGGCCGATAGCCATGCCGCGCCGGCACCGCGAGTGATGAAGATTGGCAAAAACGCTTCGAACTTTAGCTATACTGATAGCCACTTTATCTTCGAATTCACAGGCGCTAGATACTTTGATTTCCGAACAACAAGTTGGCGTGACCTTCAAATCGTCCGTTACTTGTTGACGTGCCATTTTTACGTAATCTACTGCGGATTTGTCAACGTTGTCGTGCTGCTCTCTCATTTTCGTTTATCTGGATAATCCTGAGGTCATCAATGCTGTCTTACGCTACCGATTTTTGAAATCGTTCCGTGACGCTGCGCGAAACGCGCCTTAGGTGGCATGTGGTCATGAAGTCAAAAAAACATCAAACGAAAATTTTTAACGCTTTGATAAAATGAGAAAGCACTGCGCTGGCAACTAAGATGGGGTCAGACGTTATCATATCATTAAAGCGCAAATTAAAATAATTTTCGCTAGCATTGTGCGCTCTCTGCTTGGTAGAATTACCGACCTCAATACCACTATACAGCGTGAGAGCTATGCAAATGCAGGTGTTACAACGCTACAATAAATTCGGCTACATCCTGATGTGAAGGATGTTATTCAACTCGATGGACACCGCGTCGTGGGGTCCGACCGTCCTGGAAAGCCGCAGAATCGCGGAGGACACGTTATCACCTGTCAATCAATTACGGTGTAATTATATTTGCTGTCTAGATAAAGTCAAAAATCAGCTAGCATTAAATCGAGTGTAAACCGCCGGATTCGGTAACATCTACACAGGACCACACACACCGTCAACTGAGCTTAAAAACTTCGCGATCATTTTTCGCCAGCGTTACTGTCTAGAATTGATTGCTCTGTCTGTGCCGTTGCTGAGGACCTTAACAAAAGTGATACGAGACTAGTCAAGACACCTGGTCTAGGAAATACGGTATCTTTTGAAACCAGATTTGACGCAGTTGGATTTTGTTTGCAAACAAAAGTCAGTTGCTCTCTACTTTAAAGCGAGCTCTTCTCGGCACCACAGACCACTGCGTCCTGACAAGGGGCCCATGCGTTTACAGCAAAATTACCTCTGAAAATTATCTTTGACAAAAAACCCTCAAAAGCATCGGACGGTGAGAGTTGGCGAGACTCCTCGACAGCAAATATTGCGAAGCTTCAAACGACGGTGGTTTCAAATGACATTTCAATTTTCATGGATGAGAACCTATTTCTAGAGTGTAAACATCCTACCGAATATTGCAACTTCTGTTTTGATCTACGCTGCCCTGCTGAATCGATTTATCGTCGCGGATACTGAAGCAACTTAGACGAAATAAAGGGCTTATAGATCTAAATTGTGTACTCAAGTAAAACGACTACCTATGGACAATAAAATCAGAGGTAATTTGATTGAATTGTTTATATATTAAAACTGTAGTAGATAATCACCATTATCGTGATCCTTAGAGGCTTTTAAAGCAGTTGTGTAGCAAAAGTTCCCTAAAGCGCCTCGATACGGTGGATGTAGACAGACACAATGCTGCGCTTTGTTCTCCCTTACCGAATGTTCTATACTGTATGTGGGAGCAGGTATAAATCTGCACAACTCCGTCGTAAAATGTGATAAAAAGTGTCTGCATTCCGTGATAATCGAGTCGTTCGACAAACTCTTATGTAATATGTTTGACGTACAGTTTCACAGGGGTCAAAAATGCAAGATGTCATTGCTAGTGTGCAAGCGTTCCCTGAATTAAATGGGGCTGAAATGTCAATTAAGTAAGGTTTTGAACTGCTGTACAGATTTAGCCTCCACGACTTGTTATGGTAGGCTGTTCTAAACATTTAGCATTCTCCGTTTTATACCCGGTACCCCAAGCTTGTACCGGTGTCCGCGTGTGTTGCATGGCGTTAGCAAATGAAGCAGCAGCCTCAACATGAGGAAGTCACCGAGATGTAATATACCGTAGGCCATGATGAGATAGATTCGTACCCGACGATAAGACAAGGTGTAGAGTCCGAGTTTCTCGCACCGATCTACGTAAGGTAATACATTTAAACCTGGAATGAGCCTGGTAGCGACGTGTTGGACCCGTTCGATCTTCTGTGCCTCGCCTTGGGTGATTGCGCAGTAGGCAGGTGCACCGTACTCCAATATTGGTCTTATGATGGAAGAGAAAAGGTGAGTGGTGACCTCTTTAGACCAAGTACAGAAGCTGCGTTTAAACACCAGAAACATGCGCAATCCGTTATGATATAGTCTGCTTGCGTCGTCCACAGACTTCAAATCACAGCGCCAGAGTCCACCTAAGTCCTTCACGGAATGTGTGGGATGTAGCGGTTGGCCGTCAATAGTGTAAATTCGGTCATCACCACCCTCCCCCAGGCTCATAAATACCGACTTGGATGGGTTGACCGGGAGGTAGGCTTCCGTAGACCACATGGAGAGGCAGTTGAGGTCTCGCTGAAGTACGCTGCAGTCGTCTGGGGTGCTAATTTCTCTCTAAATCTTCAGGTCATCCGCAAACAGGGCACACGGTGACCGAAGAAGCTGTGTTAGATCGTTGATGTGGATTAGGAACAGAGTGGGCCCCAGCACCGTGCCTTGGGGTGCTCCACTAGTAGTGGGATACCAATCAGTTAGATGGCACCCTCCACTAGTGCAGTGATACACCAACACCGCATATTCTCAGCTTGTGGAGGAGGACCCCAATATTTACCTTATCGAATTCTTTACTGAAATCGATGCAGATTACGTCGACAGACTTTCCCTGATTTACTGCCTGGAACCATTCATGCCTCGTCACCAGCACGTTGGTAATGCATGAGTGGCCCAGCATAAAAGCGTGCTGTGCGGGCGTCAATAGATCTTTTGAATGTAACAGCTGTAGTAGACCCTTCTCCATGATCTAGCAAACCTTGGCCAAAATAGGTGTCAGACAAATCGGCCTGAAATCGTTTACTGTGCTGGGATCACAGCCTTTCGGAAACGGCTGGGCACTGAGGATTTTCAGTCACTCGGTAATGTACCCTCGGACAGTTACCTGTTGAGCAAGTCAGTCATATATATATATATATATATATATATATCTGGACGTTGAGATATCTATCCTTCAGAGTGGTTTGGATGAGTTTGCACTGTGTTCATCGCCCGAGCCCCAATTTTGAACTTTTCTAACTAGTGATGTAACATTCTCCGGGAATGTAACTTTGTTACTGGCACAGTGATCCGCTTGTACGCAGGACATTAAACGTTAGATAATTTGAGTCTTTTTATTCAAAAAGCTAGCTTCGTCTGCCCATGCCGCCGTAACGTTTCACAAGGTTAGAAGACTATCGTTTTAGCCTCTCCGACTTAAGATGCCTTCGGTATCTTGTGATTTAATTTGCAAATTTGTGACTGCTTGTATTTTGCCTTATAAGTTTTACTGTGCCACAGTAACTTACCCTGGGTTACCCAGAAAGACTACATATCGTCTGCACGGTCGTCAGAAGTTGTTTCCAGATGGACTGCACCGTCTAGAGATGCCCTTATTGGTTTTGTTGTCAAAAAGATGTAGACGCTTGCACTAGTTTTTCTATACGACACTTTCCACTCACTACACAGTGCGTTATTGAAAACGCTAGCTGTTTCTTCTACATGCTCTAAATACAGACACTTATTTCCTCCTATTGCTTCTTGCGATGATTCTATCATCCTGTACACGTCACGACAGTTGTGGACTCAACAAAACGCATCAGCATGATGCGCAGTTGTTTGTTGGAGTGAAATGCCAACACATACAGTTTGACATTTTGCTTGTTGTTATTCATTAACAAGATTATTTCTCCATTAGCAGTGATTGTGTATTGAATTGGAGGGCTTGACCTCCCCATAGTTCAAAGGTTGGCCCGAAACGATGGACAGCCTATGCAAATTTGTCTAGTGATGTTTGGAACGTTTGTGAGTTGTCCCATAACAGGGCATTGCCGTTGTCGTATTCCAAGTCAAGAAGTCATTCACCTGGAAGCACATTCTAAGTCGTGAAAAGTGAACGCCGTTTCAATGACCTAGTCGATAAGGAAGTTAGAAAGGGAAAGTGACAGTGGACAAATTTGTCTCAAATCATTCGATATATTGAAGTGCAGTGACGGTTTGCAATAGACCCACACTGTGCCCCAACTATGAGCGTACAGCGGTCTAATGACGCTAACATGTGTAGCTGGCACACCTTTCCTGAGCAGTCCCC